ACAATGCCGACACTCCGAAACGTGTGGTAAAAAATCTGGTAAAATGTTCGAAAATGGGATGACGACATATAATCGATCTCCGATGGATTGATTATCTACTCAGCCTTATAAAGCGCGCCTCTGAATCAGCGTTTACTCATCTCCCACAACCTCACTTTTTTTTTATCATCAACCATGGTCAGTTCTCTCCTAACATCAGCGAGCTCCCACTTATACTGACAACTATCCAGGTCAACGTCGGTATCAACGGGTATGTTTTCTCTTCTTTCCCTCCTGATCGCGTTGGTCTGATCAGGTGTCATCTCATGAAGTTTCGGTGAGTAAATGTTGACATCTCGAAAATATAGAGTAACCAACACGATACAGGTCGTATTGGCCGTATCGTCCTGCGCAATGCTCTCCTTGACTCTAGAGTCAACGTCGTTGCCGTGAACGAGTAAGACTTCTCCATGCTAAGTAGTCTAAAATGTCTCAACACCTTTTTTCCAGCCCTTTCATTGATCTCGAATATATGGTTTGTTCAAGTTGCCATTTCTTTTGAATGTCTAGCTCATGTACCGCTGTACGCGTTGTTCAGGTCTACATGTTCAAGTATGACTCCGTCCACGGACGCTTCAAGGGTTCCGTTGAGGCCAAGGATGGCAAGCTTTGGGTCGAGGGCAAGCCCATCGCTGTCTTCCAGGAGAGGAACCCTGATGAAATCAAGTGGTCGTCCGTTGGTGCAGAGTACATCGTCGAATCTACCGTGCGTTTTTCGGTTTTGATCTCTTGAGATCGATCCTTTCTGATCTTTTTTTCCCTTCGGCAGGGTGTTTTCACCACCATCGACAAGTGAGTATAATCGCCGAAATCATCCCGTCTGGATATTGATCTGCGCTTACAACATAGGGCTGGACTCCATCTCAAAGGTGGTGCCAAGAAGGTCATTATCTCCGCTCCTTCGGCCGACGCGCCTATGTATGTCGTTGGTGTCAACCTCGATTCTTACGATCCCAAACACAAAGTCGTGCGTATAAATTTTCCTGCTTTTCTCCTTTCCGTGCCTGAACTATTTTTGGTTATCTCTAGATCTCCAACGCGTCTTGCACCACCAACTGCCTTGCACCCCTCGCCAAGGTCATCCATGACAAGTTCGGCATCGTTGAGGGCTTGATGAGCACCATCCACGCCACCACCGCCACCCAGAAGACCGTTGATGGTCCTTCCCACAAAGACTGGCGTGGCGGACGCAGCGTCAACAACAACATCATCCCCTCCTCCACTGGTGCCGCCAAGGCTGTTGGCAAGGTCATCCCCAGCCTCAACGGCAAGCTCACGTCAGTATCTACCTACTCTTTTCTTTCTATCTGTCCTTATATCTACACAGTGGTCTCTCCTTCCGTGTTCCTACCATCGATGTCTCCGTCGTCGATCTCGTCGTCCGCCTCGAGAAGAGCACCACCTACGAAGAGATCAAGAAGGCTATCTTGGAGGCTTCTCAGGGTCCCCTTAAGGGTATCCTCGAGTACACCAACGATGCTCTCGTCTCTGCTGACTTCGTCGGCCACGATGCCTCCTCGATCTTCGATGCTTCCGCTGGTATCCAGCTCAACCCCAACTTCGTCAAGCTCATTTCCTGGTACGACAACGAGTGGGGATACTCCAAGCGTGTTGTCGATCTCCTTGTCTTTGCTGCTGAGAAGGATGCCCAGCAACAGTAGATGTCTTTTCTCTTTCTAACCATTTCTTCGTGTGCGCCTCTTTTTCTCGCCTGTTTTCTTTCGCAGAAACGACACATGGGCTGATGCGCGGGTTGAAAGGAAGCAAAGACTGTAAAAAGCCATGGTAGTCCTGGGCTCGGACTTCCACTTCCTGGCAGACGCCTGAATGATACAAATAGAAACCCCTGTATACTGTAAATGCAACAAGTACTGTGACATTGATTTATACTCTGAGTGGCATACACTACGAAAGAAAAAGAATCCATTCTTCCATGTTTGGGATAAAGGGTTGATTCTATGTTCAATGATTACTTGGTCAAAAGTTGCCAAAAGATAATCAGTGGACACACCCGGAATTGAACCGGGCACCGCCCGCAGGAAACAACGGAAGTTGCTAAGCGGGCGTGATAACCAACTACACCATGTGCCCATGACAACGAATGTGGCGCTACAGAATCACAGCTGATCGTTGCGACCGTTGGTGAAAAGCTCATGATTAAGGGCGGCCGCCTTGCAAAGGATGCCGCACAAGAAGTCAGAATTCGATGCAAACCACTTGTTGATGTGAGAGAGGAGGGATCAAAGAGGGATAATTTCCATCAAGAATTGACGAACTGGTTGGAGGATTTGCGTGCGAATAAAACATCGGCGGTGCGCCACAGCTTCTAGATGACTACTGAATAATTCGAACATAACGCTTTGTGGCACGAAGTTGAATCGACGGTCAGGTAATACTCTATCAGTAGCCTCCATAATCAAATTTGATTTATAGTTTGTGGAGGCTGGCGCAATATTAATATTATGCATTGGTAACAATTGCCATCAATAATCTCATTGATGTGCATTACTACTTAGACCTAGGTTATCTGCTAGCCAGCCATTTATTTATATTGTGTCTGTGATAAAAGAATATTAATGTTATGTGGGTTAACCCCTATCTGCTCTCAAATCTAATCTCAGGCTGACATCGGAGCATCGCTATTGCGATTTCGCCGCTAGCAGATGTATATAAGAAGGCTTTGTGGGGTGTGAATCCGGTATCTTCCTCTTACCCCTCCCCGTGATGGAACCCATATTCTACAAAACTGTTTCAACACGCCGTAGTCTGACATACAACTACTATTTCTCAGCACCGATTGCAGAGAAACCTGTACTACTCTTCTTGCATGGATTTCCTAGCACGTCGTATGACTGGAGATACCAAGTGGATTTCTTTAAGGCGCAAGGATTTGGTATCATCGTTCCCGATCAGCTCGGTTATGGCGGGACGGATAAGCCAGTCGATTATGCAGACTACAGACTCAGCCTGATCAGCCAGGATCTTATAGATATACTCGATGCTGAGAATGTAGACAAAGCAATCGCCATTGGGCATGATTGGTCCGTCGTGAATAACATCTCCGATCTCCTCTTCGTGCTAAAAAATGCCAAAGGGGAAGTGGACCAGTTTCCAGGTTGGCAAACTACTTTCCAGATCGCTTTGACGGGTTTGCCTTCCTCGCGGTTGGGTACGTCCCGCCCAGTTCTACCAAATTTGCAGATGCAATGGTACAGGTGTGCTGTTTTGACGTACTACTGTGGGTTCACCTTAAAGGCGGCACATATAGGTTTCCGAGATTGTTGGATATAACCCATTTGGGTACTGGAACTTTTTTGTGGAGGAGGGCGCGCCTGACCTGATCGAGAAAAATGTAAGCTACGATCTCCCGCCCCGCACAGTCTGCTGATCTTGTCAGTTCGACTCATTCTACAGCTTGGTTACGACCGACGATCATAAGGTTTGGAGGACCGATGTCGCTCCTGTTGGCGCCTTGAAAGCGTGGGTTGAAGGGAACAGGAAGACGAAGCCTACATCCTATGTGGCTGAAGAGGTACCGCTATCGCTTTTTGAACGACCTGTAAATATGCTTAACGGCACTCCACTTTGCACAGGAAATAGAGAAACAGAAGTTTGAGATCCTGAAATGGGGCATTTCCGCGCCCCTCAACTGGTACAAAGTCAAAGTTCTTGATCTCGATGTCGAGGACTCAGAAGGTTCGAGCTTTCGTTCAGTCTGCCCACTGTCAACTTATTAATTGGCGCGAACCGTAGGGATCCCCAAAGAGAACATTGTAGTCCAAAAGCCTGTTTTTCTTGCGGCGGCGTTAAAAGATTACGTTTCTCTTGCTGCTTTACAGAAGGCGGCGACGGCCCGATTCGTGAAAGGCCCTTTGACCATCAAGGACTTCGATGCAGGTCACTGGGTCTTGTGGGAGGAAAAGGATAGGGTAAACGACGAGCTATTGGACTGGATTAAGGGCCTAGAGTTGTGATGAGGGATTTTTGGGTACTTACTGTGATTTGCCTGTATCTACAATTGCAACTCGCAAGGACTGAAAATTTGATTGGATCAACATTTACTTCTGAAAAGTCGCTGATCACTTTCTCTTA